TACAAAGAGAACCACGACCCGACCTTCATTTCCTTGTTGAAGTACTTGTGAATTAGTACACGACCAAAGTACGCGGCATTTAAGTACCCATACCCAGAATCCTCATTTACATACACAATAACACCAGTGACGTGTGCAGGTGATGACAGTAACAAAGCCATTCAAAGACTAAAATACCAAAACGAACTGTTTTCATATTCAAAGCTATTCAAGATGCAGTTCGCGAAGTGTTACTTTCAACAAATGCTTTTCAGAACAAAAGTTTTTGCGATATAGCTTCCTAAACGCATATTTTTGAACCACGTAACAGCCCACATTTGATGGAAAACTACATAATGGCGTACAATGACGCCAATTTTCCGACCCATACTTGCTAAACTAAATCCATTAACACGAGCATTAAAGAGAGAATACATCGTAGCGACTGGAACTTTACAGCAACGACACCATTGAGTTTTCCCGCAGGAAAGACAGACCAATTTTTAAACACGAAAAAGCAAAGACTTTCTAATGACCGTCAAGTTTAAGCAAAAATTTCAAAAGCATTATGTAGATATTTTTGGAATTCCGCCAACGGCCGACTGGAATTTTGCCAGAGAAACTTCTTTTGTAATATCTGCCCTTTAATAGACAGGTTTGAAATTGATGCTTTTCTTGCGACAGCGTGGTGCTTTTTTGGTCGGTTTTTCTTTAACTGTTATTCACAAGCTTAAGTGGTGGTTCTTCTCGATACAGTGGAAAATTTATGCTTAAAAAACGGCATTTTGCACTGATGTCAAGTCCAGTTGATAACTGCGCGTCTGCATTGGTTTTATCATTTGGGAAACTAAAAGTATTTTTGGTGGCTTAGTGCACCGTATCTTAGGCTTAAAACGCGTTCGTTAAAGTTTAATTTTTGACTTTTTGACTGGCTTTGGGATTGGAAATCCCTTTATTTCCTTTAGGTATTCAAAATCTTAACTTTAATAACGCTTTACAAAGCAAATTACATTGCGCCGTTGTGTGATTGGACATAGAAAGTTCAAACTTGACGGCTGGAGAGTTGCTGCCATTTACCACTAAGAAAAAAGACGAAACTACCAAAACCTTTGCCTTCTGAAAACCCAGTCTAGAGTGGTGGTTTGTTTTTTTTTTCAGTAAGAAAGGTGGTGCTTCTGTTTCGCCCTTATATCCAACAACTTTTGTTTAAACTACAGAATTGTTGGCCTCACGCTAATTTAAGCTCACGAAAGACATTTCTTAAAGTCCCAAACCGTTCCAAAAAACCAAGGTTTCACTTTCTGATATCCCGAAACTTTGACGCTTTTGTGTCCCGCCAGTATGGTGTAATACTCAGTGAAAATTTACTAGCCGTTGGTAGTTCATTCTAAATCAACAAGATCTATTAATTTAGTTTTGTAAGTCTCTTCTTTTTATTGGTTTTAATAATACTTGTTAGGAGCCGGGGGACTGAACGAAAAATTTCGAATTATGTTGGATGAAACTGTGCTGTTAAGCTTTGCCAATATCATATTTTGGAAGAAGAGATTACTGTGTCAAAGTGGACATCTTTTTAGCATTAATGAAACGCTTTCTACTATAGTTGTTTGTTTAAACTTTAAACAGCATTTTTCCATATATTGGGTACAATATCTAACAAACATTTGATGTGCTTGCCTTAGCGGTTTTTAACAGGGTTTCAGAGGTGGGAAGCGGCCAAATCTTGAAAAATAATTAAAGTGGAAATTTACCCGTACTAGCGATTGATTTCAGAAAATTAATTTTGACTTTTATTAAAATTAGGCTATTAGGTCAGAAAAAATGATTCATCAAGCCGTTCATCTGACTGTTCTTATACTTGGCAAGGAAATCACGAAATTCACTTTTCTCAACTAGGTAACTGAAAAGCTACTGACGCTTGATACGCCTTGTCTTGGGAAATCTCTGTTTCAGCCTGTAACAGTAAAGAAAAATGCCTTTGTAGCCGCTGCACAGGGGATGAAGCACCACAAAAACAAGGCAGTTTTGCAAAGTACTGGTTTTGATTTATACCTTTAAAATATCTCCGGAGTTACAGTGTGCAAAGCTCAGAAACACTTTGAAACGACAAGAACTCGTTTTTAAAACTGATGAGATTAGATTCGTGAAGACTGTTTAAAAATTCTATATATATAGAGTTAGCAAGCAGCTTTTTGTAGATTGACTGTTTTGAATCCATCACATTCAATGTGTTCACACGTGCGAAACCTCTAACATTTTTTGTCGTTTACAGTTACCATGTTACATTCGTCAGAACTTCTGTTCACAAAACAGGATGAAAAATAAGTGAAGTTGAATGTCATCAGAACAGTAGTTTTCTTTTTATCAGCCAAGGCTTTTAAAAATAACTGTTTTTGGCAATAAAGTGAGAAACGCGTAACAGCAGTGAACGAAATAAAGATTTGCTGATAGCTCAAACCACTGCCATCATTAAAGAAGAGGTTAACAAAGTAGCTAATCTTTGGAATATTAATTCTCGTCTTCAGATTGAGTGAAGAAAAGCTTTTCGTGTCACCAATATTTTTCATCTTTTAACCAAGAATAATAAGCTAGATTTTTTTTTTTTTAAGAGAAGTAAGGGTTTGGCAACAATTTCGAACAAGCCCAGGTTTTCCTTGATTAATGGTTGGCACAGTTTATACGCAATAGTTTATAGCTGAAAAGTAACAGTTGCA